TCTCTTTTTATTTTTGATAGAATTGTTTAACAATTTCTGTTAAAATTGGCACAGGCTTAGATACTTATTTTTGCATTAATCAATTTTATTAGTCTATTTCTCTCTCTCAACTCATATAACTCTCTTATTAATAGTGAAGAAACTCTTCATTTAAAGTAACTGTAACAATATATTATATTTATAGATAAATTATAAAAACTAAACTTTTAATAAGATTATAGATTAAATTAAATTTTGAACTAAAATTTAAATAGAAATTTGAATTGAAATTCAAATTGAAATTCAAATAGAAATTTGAATTAAAATTTGAATTAATATTTGAACTAAAATTTGAATAGAATTTTAAATTTCAAATACTAATTATAATTATTATTCAATAAAATTATTTTAAATATTAATATAAAAATATAAAATTAATTAAATAAAAAAATTAAATTATAATAATACTAATTATAATAACTATTTTTTAATTTAAAATTTGTTATTATAATTATAAATAGTTTATATATTAGTTAGAAAAAATCTTTTATAAATTTATTTATAATAATAAATTTTATAATAACTATATTAATAATTTATTCAAAAAAATTCATAATGAAAGAAAAACTTAAATATTATTAAAATTCAAGTGAATATTATTATAAATTTAAATAATAATATAAATTATATTTTTTATAATTTATAATTTTATTTTTTATTTTTTATTAATTTATATTAATAATTTTAATTATAACTAAATAATAATAATACTTTAAATAAGTTAATATTTATAAATAGAAAATTAATATTTTAACTTAATCATAACATTATAAATAAATTAATATTTATTATAAATTTTTTAATTATTTTTATTAAAAATTCTCAAATAAAAGTTCAAAATTTTAAATTATCAATAAATAATGATAATAATTTATTTATTTTAATTAATTTTTTTTGCTTAAATAAAAGTTCAAAATCTTTAAATTAGCATATAAATAATAAATAAATTTGTATTATTATAATTTTTTATTATTATTTTAATTAATTATATTTTTTTTAATAATTATATTTTTTAATTAATTATATTTTTTAATAGTTATATTTTTTAATTAATTATATTTATTAATCAATTTTTTACTTGAAAATTCTCAGATAAAAATCTAGAATTTTCAAATTAGCAAATAAATAATAGCAATATTTTGAATAAGTTCATGTTTGTAATTAATTATATTTTATTAATTATATTTTTAATTAATTATATTATTTTAATTAATTATATTTTTTAATTAATAATATTTTTTTAATTAATTATATTTTTTAATTAATTATATTTTTTTATTAATTATATTTTTTTATTAATTATATTTTTTTAAATAATTATATTTTTTAATTAATTATCAATATTATTTTTGTTTTAATTAATTTTTTTACTTGAAAATTTCAAGTAAAAGTTCAGAATCTTTAAATTAACAAATTAATAGTAGTAATACTTTGAGTAAGTTTGTATTTATTTGATTTCTTTTTTTTAATTAATTATATTTCTTTTTGCTAATTATTAATCTTATTTTTGTTTAATTAATTTTTTTTTACTAAATTAAAAAGTTCCAAATAGAAGTTTAGAATTTTTAAATTAGCAAATAAATAATAATAATAAGTTCATATTCATTAAGATTTTTTTTGTTTTTTTATTAACTTAAAAATTTTTAAATAAGAGTTTACAAATTCGTATCAGCAATCAAATAGTACTTTAAATTTATTTTTGGAATTATTACAATCAAATTTCTCTATAATGAACTAATAGTTTTGTTAGTAAAAAAAGTTTATTATATAAAATCACTAACAAACTAATATCAAATTTAAAAATTTAAGGATTGTTATATTGGAATTTTGTTATAAAGAGATTCAATATAGAAATTAACTATATATATCAATAACCAAGAAATAATCTTATACGAGTTAATATTCCAAAGATTAATCAATTTAGCATTGATTATCCTTCTCTGTCTCGCAAAATTATGAACAAAATTGGCAAACAGTACCAATTAGAATGTAGATCTGGTATAGTTAATATTTGTTATTCATCAAGTGAGCTTGAAGCATTCATATCCTGAACTTAATGAGATTCCATATGTAAATTATCCATTTGAGCAGCGGGAAGGTTACAAAGTGTGGGATCAGTATCAAGCACCATTTGTAATTGCAAGGGTTCTTGTGATAACAATAAGTGTAGATGTAAAAGGACAAGAAGGAATTGTACAAACAGAAAATCATGTTCAAACAAGAATTAATTGTATCAAATTAGAAATTTAGAATTAAATTTCATTCATCAATTATCTATTTTGATTAATGATATGAGTTTACGTAATTTTATTCAAAGGGAAAGTTTTGGATCTAAGTGGGTATTTGAAGAAATATAATTCTTTTTTTTTATTGAGGCCCGTAGGCCATTCTTTATAAATGTCGTGTCTCAGATTACGACTGAGATGCTTCGGGTAACAATTGAGACGCCTCAGATAATCAATCAACAGGTTACGCACCTCACCTGATGATTGACATCTGATGCGCCTCAGTTGTCACCTGAGGCAAGAATTGATCTGAGGCACAACATATACATGGGTCACACGTATTACGTTAATTTATTATAGTGGAGACCGGTTCCATATAACCAGTTAGGACTGGAACCCTGTTACATTATACGAACTGAATTGAACCGAACTGCCCATCCCTAGTTCAGAGGTTGCGTCCGTTGCACATTACGGCATCTCTTCAGCGGTTTAAATCGTTTGTACTTTTTGATACCATTGTAGGCAGCTTAGTAGGGTCGATTCAATTCATTCCATCGAAGCCGCTTTGTGTCGATATAGTTTACATTTTATTTGCACATTAATTCAAAAATCTCTCATGATACAAGTTCGTTTCCAAAGTATTTCACTATTACCAGTTCTCGGTAAATTACGCTCGTTTTCAATAGAAAGACTACGTTGTAAATAGCCTCATACCACTCACACATATCGCCTTTGTCATCGACAGATGTTTGGTTTTACTTATGCTTCTGAAGACTCCAATGTGTAATTTGTATTTCTATTAGCGGTGTACTTTCCATTTTTTACATTCCATTTTCGATTACCGTTACACATTTATCGTCATCGTTATTAATAAAACCGCTTTCTTCCAATAATACAAACACATCCAGAGAAAAAAAAATAAGAAAACATAAACAATTGACACACGACTTGTTATCAACTTCACACTTAAACAGACTCGATAAGTTTTATCAAAGTTCCAACTATTATGATATTTCAATTATTGTTGGTGAAAGTCAGAATACTCAACGTACTCTTTCAGCCTCGGCAATATTGGTGACGCAGTCGCAATATTTTGTGGTAGCATTGCTAAGGTAACTTCATTGCAATAACAAAGCGGTATTATTAAATAAAAATAATAATAAAATTTGCTTGGATTAAAATATATTTACAGTGAAAAATCGATTCGCAAAACCATGGTTTTTCGACACTTTTAGATTTATTAGTCGCAGCCGATGACTTGATTCTCGTGGATTTGATTGAATATATCCAAATTTACCTTCTCGAAAACCTTTCTAACACTTTAACAGAATTTTTACCTTAATCAATCAAGTTGCATTCGAGCATATCACTTTTTACCAAACTTCACGAATTTTGCACCGATATCACATGTCAGTTCTAGTTTGTTTGCTCAAACGTGATGATTTAAATTTAAATGAAATCGACCTTTGGGAAGAGGTGTTCGAATGGGGACTCTCTCAAACTGCAGATGCTGGCGTAATTGATTTGACGATTTCAGTGGAAAAATGGACACATAACGAATTTTACAACTCAAGTACGCGCTCGAAAATTGTTTACCATATGCTAAAATTTTTTCTGGGACGCTTTATAAGATTTATTGCATCATTATTTGGTTCCAGGAAGTGAAGTACATAAGGTTACCTTACACCCAGTTCACAAAATCAAAACTTTTACTAGCGACTCTTCAATTCTCTCGCCTCTCAAATAATTAACTGGATTAAAGCTGAAGTTAATAATCAGAAAAACAAATCAACTGTTACTGCGAGGTAGTCGTGACGGATATAAGAATATCGACTTTTATCGTTTGTGTGATAATAAAGGTCAAACAGTGGTTGCCATTCGCGTAAAAAACGAGGAAAAGATTATTGGTGTTATAATTCATTTGAATGGAATTCACTTAACGAATCCTGCTCTTTAAATATCTTTTTATTTGGATTTAATTCTGATGACATCCAAGCTATCAATGGCGTTCTAAGCAAACATAAAAAAGAATGGAGCGTGAGGTGCTTTGCAAGTTATGGTCCAGCACTTGGAAGTGGTTTCAATTTAGTTCTGAATCTAAAAATTACTGTACAAAACGCTCCTATGATCATGATCTGTTGGATTCTGATGGAACAAAGAATTTGGATATTGTAGGTTATCAAGTATTTCAAGTGGTGTCAATAAATTATTTTTTTCTTCATTTACATTATTTTGTGATAAATATATTTTTAAAAATTGTTTATACATTATTTAAATATATATAAGCAGTATTTGGTATTTTCATTTTATTCAAAGATCTCTTCCATATTGCTTTTGTAATTTATCTAATATATTTTACATGATTAATAGAAGTTATGACAGATTAAAATTTAAATGTGCAAACGCTCAAATTTGAAATCAAGTTATTATTTTAGATTAAGTACGTATTGCTCTGAGCTAAGAATTCGTTCAGAATTTAGAATACAAATACATGTACGTACATGTATTCAATGCCCAAAAAAATTTCAACATTAATCTTTTTTTATAATCTTTATCGTCATATTTTTATCATCTTCATTTACAGTGACTCACACATGTAACAGAACACGAAAATTAACTTACGTACTAGGATTTTTATTTCCATGACTATTAGTTCGAACAAAATAAAAAAGTGTTCATTTGAAACCTTGAAACCACTAA